ACCCCTCCTTGGGTTTCCGAGGCAGTATCACTACAGAAATAGATTGCCCAACCTTCCTTCCGAGGAGTGGCTGGTGGGTTTGAATTGCTACCCTTCTGGTTAGCAGTCAAATGCCTTAGGCACTATGCCACCAGAGCTCCTTAATATTCCTACAGGGCTTGCCTTTTTTTTTTTTTCATACTCACAGTACAGAGATCATACCTAAGAAGTTTAATCTTCTTATACTAATAACATAGTCGTATTTAGATTTCCTCATTGCCCCCAATCTGATGTTTTATAGTTGCTTTGTTTTTCTTGTTTCTAAATTCGAGGATCACATTGCATTTAGTTCTCATTGGCTCTTGAATCACCTTTAATCTAGAAGAATCCTGTGCTCTTTTAATGTCACACAATATAGATTGTTTGTTTCTTCATGATGAGATTTATCTGTGTGTGTGTATGAGATAATATATTTGACATTTGTTTAAAACAAAATTGACACTTAAAAGGGTACCTTTTCTCTTTTTACAGATTGGATTTACATTTAGTGTGCCTGTTGCAAAAACAACAGAACTTTCTGTCTCCTGTAGTGCTTCAGAACCAATTACAAGTAGTTCAGGTAAGTTTAAAAAAAAAAAAAAAAAAAAATCTCTTAAATGTTTACATAAAAGTAGTAGCACATTTAGATTAGTCACGTGAATTTGTTATCTTATTCTTCAGTCCTACAAAGCTCTGAGTTTTTGAGTCATAGTAAAGAACTCATATTTGTGCGAGAAATATTGGCAGGATTTGTTATTAGATATGTAACACAGATTTTCCTTTGATGAACTCTGTTATCCAATGAACATAACAGTTAAAATATTAAAAGAAGTATGTTAGTATCTGTTCTGGTTACCTACTGCCACTCTGACAAGAATATACCACAAATGGGATGGCCTTAACAAACAGGAGTTTATTCTTACAGTTTGGAGGCTTTAAGTCCCAAGTTCAGAGTGCCAGGCTCCAGGGGCTTAGTTAAAGCCCCTCAACCTTGGGGACCAGCTCTGCCTCCTGTTCCCGGTCCACTGGAGCCAGAGGCATTTCTTCACTCAAACAGCTGTTGACTGCTGAGGCTGAGAAGCCCCAAGGCTGACAAGTAAAAAGGCACAGTCCCGTTGTTACCAAACCACACGGCAGGCCATTAACTTAAGTCCATTGTAAGTCCCAAGGTTGGCAGAGCATAGCAGACTGCTGAGCAACTTAGATACAGGGTCCAAGTGTGCCATAGGCTAGAGACCATTCTCAAAGCTTCTCCTTATATGCAGGAAGCAGACCACATACCCAAAGGCAGCTAGCTACTCAGCTGCTCACAGTAGATTGCACCATGGAGTTGATTACCAGTCTCATCATGGAGAATACTACATCCAGTTGCCCAGCCACTCAACCAGGCCTAGCTAAGTTGACACACAAACATAACCACCACAGTATTTCAAATTATTTTCTTGCACCTCTGGCAATTCTCGTAAATCTTTTATTGTAATGAAATTAGCTTTGAAAAGCAAGCAAGGGAACTAGTATCAACCTTTTGACAATGCATTTTAATAATTACCTTGACATGTGTAGTTCCCTAAATGTAAATGTTAGCGTTTGGTCTTGACAGATAATCTTATCAGCAAAGTTATCTGCTGCCTTTGATTAGTAGACAAAATTAGGCACTTTGTTACAACTGAACTCTCATTGCTGAGTGGCACAAGTGGTTTGCAATCAGCTGCTAACCTGAAGCCACCCAATGGCCTGGTAATCTAACTGCTTCTGTAAAAAATCACAGCCAAGGAAACCCTATGGAGCAATCCTAGTCTTTAACACGTTATTGCCATGAGTTGGAATCAACTCATCAGCAACAAGTCTGTATTATAAGTATAATGAGATTAATTTCTGGATTTACTGTTCAGTACACAAGCATTTTTATTTGTAAGGTTTATGCTGACTTCTGCACATAGTGATACATAATTTCTGAACTCAAATTGAGAGACAGAGAAAAATGAGTAATTAGATCATTAAAACAGGTTTTTAGTGTTTTTTTTTTTGTTTGTTTTGTTTTGTTTTTAATAATAACAGTGCTTGGGAAAAGGAGAAACATCTGAGATAAATTTCTCAGATCAAGAATTTTGAGCAAGGGTATTTTACCCAATAAATAAACAACAAAAGCAAGGAAGGGCTCTGGAATAAGAGAAAAAAAGCATGACGTATTTTGAGAATTGTAAATAATTTGTCATTGCTTGAGTGAGTGGCTGATAAGAAATGAGACTGGAGAAGTAGCTTCAAATTCTAAACATTCTTGACTGTCATGGTAAAGAATTGGATATAATTCTAAATATAGTGGGGCGACATCGCGTGATTTTTTATATGGGCTAAGGTAAGTGTGGGTGGAGTAATAGCCCTGTGTTGAGTGAGTGTGTGGGTGGGAGTGGGATACTATAGCTAGAAACATCAGTGTAAGGGGTTATTGCTGTGTCCAGAAGTGTTTCTTATTGTATCCACTGAGTTTTGGAAGTTATTAAAACTCTATCTTCTCTTCAGTGGATAAATAGGTTTAAAAAAGAAGTCAAGTCATTACAAGGTCTTTGGCTTTGGGTGGTCTTGCACAGATAATGGCATGAAATTAGAATTTGACTGGTGTGTTTGCAATCCTCTTTGTTTTTGTATTGAATTAAACAGCCCTGGGTAAGAGAGAGTAACAAGTGTATTTCAGGTGTGCTTCTTAGGATAAAATTGTTTTCTTTAATATTAGTGTGAATTAAAGAGGAGTAAACCTACTCAAATTGCTGATTTCATGCCTTGCTTTGAGGGAAGGCATTTAAAATCCCTCCCAGTTTTTACTAATGGTAACTGAATGAGTAGCAGTTAATTGCAACAGCTTTGTGTTTTATCACTTCTGGGGAAATTTCCCAGATTTTTAGGAAGTTTTGTTATGAATGGCATATATATAAGTTGTGTGTTCTTACTTTGACACCTCTGGTTCTTCTTGCTACATCTGTCATTAAAAAGCTGAAAATGTGGAAGTCATGATTAATTAGTATGTGATAGGAGCTAATTTTTCTGTCATTGTGTTTTTTTTTTGTCTTTTGAATACACTTCAGGAAATCCTAAAAATTTACTTTAAGTTACCAAATTTTGATTATAAAGGAAGATAGAATGTGATAAAGTGATGTATGCTAAAGCACATCTTTGTCTTGACATGGTTTTAAGAGATAAGGTTTTGTTTTTGCCTCCCCCCAACCACCACCACAGTTGAGGTAAAACTGGCATAACATGAAGTTAACCATTTTAAAGCCACCAATTTAGTAGCAATTTAGTTTAGCACATTTATAATCTAGATCTAGTTTCAAACATTTCATAACCCAAAAAGGAAATCCCATACCCATTAAGTGGTTGTTCCCCATTACCCCCAAACCCAAACCCAACTCATTGCCATGGAGTTAATTCTGACTCCTAACAACCCAATAGGATAAGGGTTTCCAAGGCTATAATCTTTACCGAAACAGACTGCCACATCCTTTTCCCATGGAATGGGTTTGAATTATTGACCTATGCTAGCTGTTACCAGCCAAGAGCTTAAATGCTCTACTACCAGGGCTTCTTTCATTTCCCCCTCTTTGGTGGTGGTGGTGGTGGTGGTTGTTATGTGCCGTCGAGTCAGACCCGACTCATAGCAATCCCTTCTTGGGTTTCCAAGGCAATATCACGATGGAAGTAGATTGCCCCATCTTTCTTCTGAGGAGTGGCATATCTATTCATTCTTTTGCCAATTTTTAAATTGGATTGTTTGCTTTTTGTTGTTGAGTTGTTGGAGTTCTTTGTGTATTCTGGGTACTAGATAAGAATCAATTTGTAAATATTTTCTCCCTTCTTTAACTTGTATTTCACTTTATCCATAATGTCCTTAAAATCCAAAAACCAAACTCACTGCCACCAAGTCTATTCGACTCATAGTGACCCCTCCTTGGGTTTCCAAGGCCGTGTCTCTACGGAAGTAGGTTACCCAGTCTTCCTTCTGAGGAGTGGCTGGTGGGTTTGAACCACCAGTGTTCTTGTTAGCAGTTAGATGCCTTAGGCACTACACCACCAGAGCTCCCTTATGTGCACAATTTTTTTTTTACAAAGTCTAATTTATTTCTCTTTCTCTTTTGTTGTTTATGCTTTTGGTATCATATCTAAGAAACTTGCTTTTTACCCAGTACAGTGTGTTTAAGAATGATTTTCGTGGCTATGTAGCATTTCATCATGTCTATGTACTATAATTGGTATAACCAGCCTCTTATTTCTGTACATTTTATTGTCTGGACTTACAGTATTATAATTCATGAATTGTCTCAGTCATAGGATGAATTCCTAGAAATGGGATAACTGGCTTAATTGAGTATTTTTAAAGTTTTCTGATCAATATTGCCAAATTATTCTGTAGTCAAACAAACACTTCATGCAGCTTTCTCCTGTCGTGTACTTCAATTTTATTTTCTTGATTACTGGTGAATTCGTTGGGTTTATATTTTTTGCTCTTGTTGGGGAGGGGAATAGTATTTCTGCTTTGTAATGGCAAATAAACTCTAAATACAAGTCATTTGTTTATTATTTGTAAATTACAATGACTTTCTATGAAGTTTTAGAAATTGATCTCAAATAGGTTGGCTTTGAAAGGAATTTTTTTGAACTTTTTTTTTAAATACATGGTTTGACATTCATTATGGTCTTTATTATGTTTTTAATTTCATATTTTTTTAAAAAAATTTTTATTGTGATTTGGGTGCAGTTTTACAGAGCAGATTCATTTTACACTCAACAGTTCGTACACATTTTGTTTCTTGACAGCAATTACAATCCCCATGATGTAATAGCTCTCCTCCACCTCCTTCCTGTGGTTACTCCTTTCCTTTGTCCTTCTTATCTATGTAATTCCTGTCTTACTTAGCTTTCCCCTATGCAAATACTGCCCTTGGATCTCTCATTGTTGACTGTTGGAGTAAGTGCATCTCCCTGGTGTAGTTGTTTAGTATGTAGGCCTGTCTGTTGTTTGACTGAAAGCTAACCTTTGGGAATGAGTCCAGTTCCTGGCCTGAAATACAACCCAGGGTCATAGCATCGGTTGTTTCCCAGTCTCTAGCCAACAGTAATTCTGGTCTTATGTTTGAATTTTGTTGTGTATTTTTTCTCCCACTCTACCAGGATCTCCAATTTTGATCCCTTTCCAAGTGGTTGACATTGGCAGTTGGGCACCATCTAGTTCTTCTGGTCTCTGGGTCATCGTGTAGGCTGAGGTTGCCATGCTCCTTTAGTCCCTTGGACTAATAGTTTCCGTATGTCTCTGACTTTCTTCCATTCTACTTTGCTCTGGATGAAGAGAGACCAATAGTTGCATCTCCTGTGTCTTATTTTCATTGTGATAAAATACAACAAAACATTTGTCATTTTAACCATTTTCAAGTGGACAGTTCACTGATGGTCACCTTTAGCATGTGGTACAATCATCAAAATTACCCATTTTCAAATGTTTCTAATCCCATTACACAGAGACTCATTATTCCTTAAGTAATGACTATTTCCTATATTCCCTCCCCCCAAGAACTTGGTAACCACTGATAAATTTTTGTCTATGCGTTTGCCTATTCTAAGTATTTCATGTAAGTTGGGTCATCCAGTATTTGTCCTTTTGTGTCTAACTTTTTTAATGCATATAACTCGAGTAAATGTTTTTTCTTGACATAATATTATTTTTACAATTAAAAAAATTACAGCACAAGGTACTGCTTCAGTGAACAGTACAACTTGTAAGAAGACGCTAGATGAAGATTATGAGGGTCCTTTTAAACCTGCAAAAATCCTGAAAGAAGGAAGTGTTCTAGATGTTTTGAAAAACCCTGGTAAGATAACAACTGCCCTTGGGATAGTCAGAATTCTAAATTACAAATTCAGGATATTGTTTAATGTCATTTGTACTTTTAAAAAATTATGACTAGTTTGGTAGGAGTTTAGTTTTTCATATAGATGTAGTCAGATGTAATTCATTTGGGAGAAATACATTTACTGCTTTGGAATTGAAAGACTGTGAAATCTCTGGCAAGATAGAGATAGGCCACTATGAAATAAAGAAACCTGGAGATACCTGGACATGTCTTTATCTGATGATTTCCTCAAAGCATTGAACTACTTTGTTCTTTTCAGATTATTCGTTAGTTGTGGTATACACACATAGTACTCACTTGAAATGAAACAAAGTTTAAAAGCTAGTAGATAATAACTTGGAGGAGATAAATTGAAGCCCCAAAAAGAATGGCTTTAATGTGGAATAAAGGAGGATGTTCAGAATTTTAATTGTGATGTGTGTGCCAAGAATATAAAATTATTCATTAGATAATTACATAGCTCAGAATGAATTTAGGTTTAACCAGGCAGATGTGTTCATGTAATTATACACCTACTCTTCACTTAGCAACTATTGTGTTACCTGACATTTTCGCATTTACAACAAATTTGAAAAAATGCTCAGGCAGCAGCTCCAATGGTCTAGGCTCCACATATACCAGAGGTCCTGGCAACAGCCCAGCCACATGAAGGATGATGGTCCACTAGCCACAGGGTATTTTCTTCCATTTTGTCCATGACATCTTGATCTGGCCACAGAGGGTGTGGGGCAAAGGCGTGGACAACCCAAGGTTGCCAGCAGGCATGGGGAGCCTACACAAGGGTTTGAAGATGGTAGGGAGGTCAGTAGGAGCACAGGGGCTGCGCAGAGCTGCTGGGGCAGGCAGAGGATGAGGAGGTCCCCTCCCAGGGCAGGCTACAGGCAATACTGGTCTGTGGTGGTAGGGAAGGCATGGTGTGAAAGAGAGCCCGCAGTGCCACGTTCCTCTTGAGATGTGCCGGGCGTGCTAACAGGCATTGAACAACAGAAGTTGGATGGGTGGGTGGTATATCAGAAAATGGGATGGGACCCCCACCTCTTGTATCTCCGATTTTGCATCACGACCTGGTCTTTGGAACCTAACCATGTCGGTAAGTGAAGAATGGGTGTATAGGCTTTTTTGATAAGAAAGGCTGACATCAACAAGATTTAAGAAGGGTTACAGTCTTTTTTGGTCCAGCTCTCTCATTTCATAGATGAGCATAGAGCCTATAAAAGAATTTCAGTAATATAGATAATTTTATGCAATTATGGCAGAACTTCAGTATGCTTATATTAGAATTAACCCAGGATTAGGTAACCATCAAACACATACAGTTATCATATCTCTAGGTTAACATTTTTTATTTATAATGCTTACTTCTTCTCTTCCTCTTTCCCATTTTTAATTCTTTTTTAAGTAGAAAAGATTGGAGGGAAGATTTGTATATTCATTTGTGGGAAATTAGGAAAATTCAAAAAAGTAGAAGGAAAAGAAATTTATCACTTTGAGATGATTACTGTTAAAATTTTACCAACCTTAGTGATTCACATTAATCATAAAACAGTACATTGGTGGGGTTAACTTAAGTATGTGGGATGTTTTTGCCTTTATGATAAAATAGCTCTAAACTGATTAATTTTTTGGTACCACTAGAAAATCCCTAACAACCTTCTGTATAATTCTCCTCTTTGTTTCTAGCTTTCTTTTCCTGTGGTGCTTAGGGCTGAAGAAACAGACCACTGAGTTTGTGGTGTGTGTAGAATGCAGGTTTAATTGTTCCTAGGTGAAAGATTGGTTGGAAGTTTTCCTATGAATAAAGTGTAGCCTGAGTGAATCACTTCAGTGACAGAAGTTTTGGTAGCACAGGACGATTGTGTCCCCTTCCCCCCATTTCATGGTTCTATATAAATACTTTAATTGTCTAAATACACCTTCCTTGGTTATTTTCAAAAGTATACTTAACCAAACCAAAACCAAACTCACTGCCATACTATGAAATATTCTAAGATAATATTGGAGAGAAATTAAGGTAGTTTTGTTTGAATTAGTGTTTGCTAACAATGTAGTATATATCTGATAGCATTGAGGGTAGATGTTCATCAGGATAGACCAAATTTTAATCATTTTTGTATTTCCAGGCCTTACCATAAGATTGGGTGCATCTCTGTTGAAATTTGTAACCATACATGTCATTGAACCATCACTATTTCAGAGCTCATTGGAGTAGGGTATAATTTAAAATAATCCCTACTACCATGTTGTATTATGGAGGGACATATATGTCAGATAACTATGCCTGCACAGCTCAAATGGTTTTTGTGGAAAGTAGAGGATACCACAGCAGCATGACTAGACAGAATTCAAAGATTAGAGATTGAAGTCATTTGGCAGAGCTAAGGGGAAACTGAAAGAAGGGACAGATGAGGGAGGAAAGCTATGAGCATATGCTATAGTTTAGTATTGCAGTGCTATGTAGCAATAAATTAGTAACATGAAAGTATAAAGCTGGGTATTGATTCAGTTACAATAAATAGAAATTTTAAGTGGGGTAAGATGATAAAACTATATAAACATTTTTTTGCAGAACTTTAACTACATCTAAGTGCCACTTGGTAATTATATGATTAAAGAATATGATTGCTTAAATGAAAAACTTGTAGGAACCAACTTTGCCATAAAGTAAATATGTTTTCTCCCAGTAATACTTCAGTTAATACTTTGTTAGAAAGCTTCTTAGTTGTTATAATTATTTTTTTACATTCTCTTCTTTCCCCATTGTAGGTTTCACATCACCAAAGGTAGATTCTGTCACTGCTCAGCCTACCACAACAAGCCTTGTAGTTTATACAAGACCAGCAATAAGTAGCTTTTCTTCTAGTGGAATTGGGCTTGGGGAAAGTGTAAAAGCTGGATCATCTTGGCAGTGTGATACTTGTCTACTCCAGAACAAAGTAACGGACGACAATAAGTGCATAGCCTGTCAAGCCACAAAATTGCCACCAAGAGAGACAGCTAAACAGACTGGAATTGAGACACCAAGTAAAAGTGGCAAACCATCACTTTCTATATCAGGGACAGGCTTTGGAGACAAATTTAAACCAGCAGTAGGAACTTGGGATTGTGATACCTGTTTAGTACAAAATAAACCTGAAGCAGTAAAATGTGTAGCTTGTGAAACACCAAAACCTGGAACTGGTGTCAAGCGAGTCTTTACATTGCCAGTGGCTTCAGAAAGTGCTGTAACTGTGACTGCTTCATCTTCCAGCTGCACTGTGACCACTGCTACCTTAGGCTTTGGAGATAAATTCAAAAGACCTTTGGGATCTTGGGACTGTCCAATGTGCTGTGTTTCTAATAGTGCAAGGGACAATAAATGTGTGTCCTGCATGTCTGAGAAACCAGGTACGTTTATGGTTATTATGTAACAATTTTACTTTTAATTCTTTATAAAACAGATGGGAAAAAAGAACAATACTTGAAGTGCTTCAGCATGAGCATTTCCACATTCCTCTTAATTTTTCTAAATTAGCTTGACGTTTAAATGACTGGTTGGACTAGAATCTTCATGTTCTCTTAGCCTAGGTTATATGTTAGCCAGTCCAGTATATACTCTGATTTCTTTGTTGTATTCATTTCTGTCATAAAGTTCTTGTTCTTCGTGATCATTTTCAAAGTTGGCTAATATAGATGCTGAAAGATCTTAGAATTGGGCAGTCTTTCTCAAATCTTTACAGAGTAAGTAATGCTTTATCTTTTTTGTTTTTTTCCTGTAAATAAAAATGAGAGTGGCTAGTGGTCATTTCCAAGGAGCTCTGGTAGTGCAGTGGTTAAGGCATTTGGCTGCTAACCAAAGGGTCGATGGTTTGAACCTGCCAGCTGCTCCACAGAAGAAACATGACACAGTCTACTTCTATAAAGATGTACAGCCTTGGAAACCCAATGAGGGTTGCTATGAGTCGGAATCGACTCAATGGCAGTGAGCTTAGTTTTGTTTGAGTGGTCATTTCTAGGCATGGTTTTTGCTAAGGTACAGACAGTAGTGTTTTAGTAAAGGACTGTAGCTAAATTTTAATGGTGACACCTGAACCTGGTTTATATGTATACTGCCTGGCAGAGTTACTGCAGTGATAGCCAATTACTGAAGCATGTTTGAAAAACTTCTAACTTTGTCAGAAAAAAACAAAGTTAGGTTTGAAATTTTCCTGTTCCTTTCTTCAAAGCTAGAAGAGTTACTGAAGATTCACACAATCCAGAAGTGTCTCTTAGCTGTATAATACTATTATACAATGGTACAGATACATGGCAGCAAGGATACTGAATGAAACATTTGGAATTTGAGTATCCTGAGAATTAAATTTCTATTTTTTATGGATGCATAGTTTGTGTCTGCAGTGTAAAGCTCGTTATTAGCGTAGACCCTTACCCAAACAACAGAGCCGTATTTCTAAGGCCTACTGGAGTATGGCCACATGAAAAAGATTTTAGAATCTGCATTCTGGGATATCTTCCTCTTCTAATATGGCATCCCTCCTCCCCCCACTAAAAAGTACAAGACCTTGATGCATGTACCAAGCCAAAATTAATTCTGAGCTGGTAAGATAATGAATCTTTTGAGTCCAAATAACCATGTGAAAGAAAGCTACATATTATGACAGAAAGTTCATATGTGTATTAAAGAATTGAACTTTGTCCTGTAAATGATAAATCATGATTTTAAGTAGATGGGGACATGCTCAAATTTGTATTTTTGATAAATCACTGTGGTGGCATTTTCAAGGGTAGATTTGAAGGGGACAGAATTGGGAGACCAGGATACTAATGAAATCGATTGAAGATGGGGAGCTATAGCATAATGTATAGTTGGGGACACGTTGCTTTCATGCTGCTGAAATTGATCATATACATATGAAGTCTTTCCATATACTGCTAAGGTACTGTTGGAGTTGTAGATGTGTGGGGGTCATCAGCTAGTAATTTGATATTTGAAGTCATTGTAATAGAGGTGATGTGAGGTGAGTGAATAGAGAGGATAGCCCAAAACTGAAGTCTGTTATCTTAGAGGTGATAGGAATAAAACTTCTGAATGGTTAAACTTTTATAGAAGTACCCAGAGAGGAAAAAACAAAAGCCGCATGACACTGGTTGCTCAGAGGAAAGTGGATTCAAGGGAATAAGACCAGGTGTCTCAATTTGAAAAAGGTCAAAGATGAGGATTTGAAGTAGAATAGTAGTTGAAGGGTCAGGGGAGAAAAAATAGATTTGAGAAATATATAAGGGAAGAAGAGCTAACAGGCTGTGCTAATTGGGTGGGTAGTAGAACCAATATCCAACCAAGAGACTGTAGGTATGAAGCTCAGAAGAGAAGGATGTGTTGCAGATAGAGATTAGTAAACTGTTTGTTGGTGTTTAAAACCATGAGAAGAGAAGTGCAACAAAGTTGGAACTAAGGGGAGCAGTTTTTTGGTAAGATGGGACAGAATGTACCTAGGTAACAAATAAAACAGAACGATCACAGATAACTAGGGAAAACTGGCAAAAATAGAAAATTTTTAAAAGTAAGGGTGTGGGAATGACTGGATCCCCTCTCAGCAGCATCTTTCTTTATACATCTGCGCTTTGTGGAGCCAGCTTCTGCAACAGCTGCCCTACCTCTGACATGCTACTTCTCCTTAAAGATTTGAACAATCACCTCGTGAGAATGGTACTACCATTATGCATCTGTGTGTTTTATTTTTCCCTTTTGGACCATGAGTACCTTTAGAAACTAGCCAACATTTTATTCATCTCTGTATCTCCAGTAAACTACTTAATAAATAAATGTCTATTAAGTAGGTAGCATATAACAGAAGTGCTGTGAGCACAGCTTTTTATTTTTTTGAACAATTTATTGTGGTTTGGGTGAAGATTCATTTATAGAGCAAATTAGTATTCCCTTCAATAATTTATTCATATTTTGTTTCGTGACATTAGTTGCAGTTCTGTTAGTGTACCAGCACTCTTCCACCTTGCTGAGTTCTCCATTTCCATTCATCTTTCTTTCCTGCCCCTTCACACCTTCTGAACTTTGTTTTTGGGCAAATGCTACCCATTTGGATACATCTGGTTGATTGTTCTGAGGAGTACGTTCTTCACAGGTGTTAGCTGTCCACCTTATAGGCCTGTCTGTTGTTTGTCTAGAAGCTTTGGTGGTGCAGTGGTTAAACATTTGGCTTGCTAAACAAAAGGCCAACAGTTCAAACCCACCAGCCACCCCTCAGGACACAGGAGGCAGTTGGCTTCTGTAAAGTTTTACAGCTTTGGAAACCCTATAGGGCAGTCCTCTGTGCTGTTGGGTCACTCTGAGTCAGAATTGGCTGAGTCTGGTTTAGTTGGTTTGTTTGGCTAAAAGTTGGTCCTAGAGATAGGTTCAGTTGCAGGCTAAAAGGGTACCTGTGTGCCTGAGACAGATTCCACCAGTTCTTATCCGTAAATCTGGTATTTTTTATGACTTTGGATTTTATTCTACATTTTTCCCTTCCTCTTTCCAGACTTTCAGTTGTGATCCCAATCAGTTGGTAGTGGTCGCCTGGGATTATCCAGTTCTTCAGGTCTTAGGCTGTTGGAGACTGTGATTCCTGTGGTTCATTAGTCCTTTGGACTAATTGTTTCCTTGAATCTTTGATTTTCTTCATTCTTCTTCATAAAGATCTTAAGGACACTTTATCCTTTCATCTGTTAACCCCTAATTCATGAGCATATTTTTTTCCTAAATTTTATCTGATTTGTTGTTGAGACTATACACCATTCATCCAGTTTCTCCGTGTACAATTTAGTGATAATTGATTACAATCTTCAAGTTATGCCAACATTTTCATATTCCTTTTCTGAGTTGTTACTCCTTCATTAAAATAATCTCACTGCTCTAATCTTCTGATTTGCTGTTGTCAATTTCATCCCACATAAATAGATCTTGAAAGAGTGTAATGCTCAAGGCTAATCTTTTTCACTAGTTAAAACTATTGTTTTGTTTTAAGATGATTTCAGGGGATACTTTTGGTTTAAAGTTTAAAGAGTATCTCAGGGCAGTAATTTCAGGGAATCATCTGGCCTCCATGTATCCAGAGAGTCTAGAGTCCACAAGAATTTGAGATTTTTTGCTCTGCATTTTCCCCCTGTTGATCGTGATTCTTCTATGAAATCTTTGATCAGAATGTTTAGTAATGGTAGCCAGGCACCACCATAGGTTGTGTTCTCATCATGGCAAAGGAGAAATTAGCCACACATTTCACACACTCCTCCTGTTCTTGAATCTTCTTCTTCTGTTGCTACTTGTGAATAAGCAGCCAGTTGTGCCGTGGAGGGGCCCCCGGGCCCCCTTGCAAGCTGTTAAGATCCCAGGGACTACACACAAACAAGGATGTAAAACAGAAGCAATATACTCATTATTAAGCCAATTAACTGGGATATCTCATGGAACCATGACCCTAAACCTCCAAACCAAGGAACCAAATCCCATGAGGTGTTTGGTTGTACATAAGCAACTTCACCAGCTACTTTGATGTAAATATATCTATCACACAACTTTCTCCAATTCAGCTTTCAGTAGGTGTACAACTTATTGACAGCAATTAGAATAATCAGCTGTGCAACCTTAATCAGTATGATTTTTTTCCATCCTCCCACCCCTGGTAACCACTGATAAACTTGGGTCTCTATACATTTGCTTTCTTATAGTGAGATCATACAATATTTGTCCTCTTGTGATGGGCTATTTTGTTCTGCTTATTGTCTTCAAACTCCATCCATAGTATGTATTAAGACTTCATTTCTCCCACTGGCTGTGTGGTATTCCATGGTTTCTATGTACCGCATTTTGTTTATTCATTCATCTGTTGATAGGCATTTAGGTTGTTTCCACCTTTTGGTTATTGTTAATAGTGCTGCAGTGAACACTGCTATATAAGTCTCTTTTTGAGTCTCTGCTTTCAGATCTTTTGGGTATATACTTAGGAGTGGAAATGCTGGATCATATTAGTAATTCTACTTTTAGTTTTTTGAGAAACCACCACACTTTTCCATAATAGCTGTACCATACTGCATTCTTAACCACAGTGGATAAGGGTTCCAGTTTCTACACATCCCCACAAATATTTTTAATGGTTTAAGTCTTAGCCATCCTTGTTGTTGTTGTTATTTGCCATCGAGTCAGCCCCGACTCATAGCGACCCCTCCTTGGGTTTCCGAGGCAGTATCACTACGGAAGTAGGATTGCCCAACCTTCCTTCCGAGGAGTGGCTGGTGGGTTTGAAGCGCCAGCCTTCTGGTAAGCAGTCAAGTGCCTTAGGCACTATGCTACCAGAGCTCCTAAGCCATCCTAGTGGGAATGAAGTGGTATCTCATTGTGGTTTTGATTTGCAGCCCCCTCCCTACCCCCAATACCCACAGCCGTTCAAGCAGAAGATTAAGAGGAAACACGGAGCAAATTGAGTGTCAGCTGCTCGTTGATAAGATTAAAAGTGATCTGAGCTGTCTTCTTTTCAATAATGTAATGTTCATTTTTCTGCCATTTTATGTGTCTAAATAGGAAAAAAAAAAAAAAAAAAAAAAACCTCACTGCCATTAAGTTGAGTTGATTCATAGTAACCCCTCCTTGGGTTTCCAAGGAGGTATCTCTACAGAAGTAGATTGACCCATCTTCCTTCCAAGGAGTGGCTGGTGGGTTTGAACTGCCAGCCTTCTGGTTAGCAGTCAAATGCTTTAGGCACTATGCCACCAGAGCTCCCGTTAATAGGAAAAACTAATATAAATTTAATGCTTAACACTTAATTGTGTTGTTAAGAAATTGACATAATGTGAACTAAAATTTTCCTAAGTTTCCTCACTGTTTTTTAGGTAGTTCATCAGTACCTACTTCAAGTAGCAGCACAACACCTATCTCTGTGTCTTCTGGAGGCTCTCTAGGATTGGACAAGTTCAAGAAGCCTGAAGGAAGCTGGGACTGTGAAGTATGCCTCGTACAAAATAAAGCAGATTCTACCAAATGTATAGCATGTGAAAGTGCAAAGCCAGGCACAAAATCTGAATTTAAAGGTAAGGTGATGGTAAGATGTCACCCTGTAATGCCATTTTTTTTTTTTAAATTGCAATTTGGATGAAAATTTACAGAGCAAATTCACTTTCCATACAACAGTTCACACATGTTGTCTCATGACATTGACTATAATTTACCTCAGTGCAACAGCTCCCCTCCCACTCTCTTCCCTGTGTCCATCCCTCCATGCACTCCTGCCTCCTGAGCTGTCTCCCTGTGCATAAGTAGCCCTTCTTTCTCCCATGATTGTTCTCTCCA